GACCGGGGACCGGCAACGGGATTGCAACCCTCGGTGCTGCTCCCGCACCTCGCTCAGCCAGTGAGCGGGAACCGGTCTGTATGTGGGATCCAAACCCTCGGGCGGGAGCCCCGCCGCGCTTCCCAAGCAGCGCACTTATCCAGTGCGCCACCGGGCCGGCCCTGGTGGATTAATTTTTAAACTGTACAGGAGCAAAACTCTCTGCACAGAAAGGTATAGTCTTAGTCCCAAATGTGCCCCCCACCCCCCACCATGGTTTCAGTTACCTGCAGTCAACTGTGGTCTGAAAATATTAAGTGAAAAATTCCAGAAATAAACAATTGATAAGTTTTAAATTGTGTGCCATTTTGAGTAGCATGTGAGATCTCGAGCTGTCCTGCCCCATCCCTTTGCCATTTAGATGCCTCAGTTATCAGATCATGTTATCTGATCAACTGTCACAGTACTGCAGTGTATGTGTTCAAGTAACCCTTATTTTACTTACTTACTTGCCCCAAAGTGCAAGAGAAGTGATGCTGGCAATTGAGATATGCCAAAGAGAAGCTATAAAGTGCTTCCTTTAAGTGAAAAGGTGAAAGTTCTCGATTTAATAAGAAAAGAAAAAAAAATCGCATGCTGAGGTTGGTAAGATCTACAGTAAGAACAGATCTATCTGTAAAACAGTGAAGAAGAAAGAAATTTGTGCCAGTTTTGCTGTCGTATCTCAAACTACAAACATTAAGGGCACAGTGTGTGATAATGGAAAAAGCACTAAATTTGTGGGTGGAAGACACTAACAGACACATGTTCTGATTGACAGCAATCAGGTGTGGTACTATCCAAGGTTTCAGGCATCCACTGGGGGTCTTGGAATGTATCTCCTGCAGATAAGGGGGAGACTCCTATATAAGGAACCCTAAAGACCCCACCAAAAAATTTTAAGAATAAACCAATTCAGTAAAGCTGCAGGATATGAAATCAACATACAAAAATTAGTTGCATTTCTATACACTAACAACAAACTAATTAACACACTGATGAAAGAAGTTAAAGACAAGTAAATGGAAAAATAATCCATGGTCATGGATTGGAAGAATGTTAAAATGTCCATACTACCCAAAGCGACCTAGATGCAATGCAATCTCCATCAAAATTCCAACGGCATTTTCCACAAAAATAGAAAAGAAAATCCTAAAATTGGTATGGAATCACAAAACACCCCTGTAGGAATGCTGGTCAGAAGTCACTCACTTGTGGCCCTCAAATCTCTGACTTCAATTGTTAAAATCTTTCTTCTGTACAGGTTGCTTGGCAAATGAGGCGGGGAAAGGAACAGAATGCTATGCTTGCAAAACATAAGGGGAGCAATGCCAGCAACCCCAGGATAAGCTGCAAGACACCTGGGAACCTTCTACTTCCACAGCCTCTCTCTTTGGCATAGCTTCACTTTTACCTCTAAGTCCCTTATAAGCTTCAACTCCTCCCCCGCGGGGGTTGTGGAGAAAGTAGCTACTCAGCTCCTGGATCAATATTCTCCCCAATCCATTCCCTGTAAGTCACCTGTCAATAATAATAATAAATTCCTTGTAAACCATATGGAGTGGCCTGCTTCATTCTTCAGTCTCAAGATACCTTCTTAGTTTGGTGGGAATTATACACTTTGCTCACACTCAGACTCTGAAGAGCCAAAGCAATCTTGAGAAAGAAGAACAAACTGGAAGCATCATACTTCCTTATTTCAAAACATATTATAAAGTTACAGTAATCAAATCAATATGGCACTAGTATAAAAATAGGCAAAGGACCAATGGAACATAAAAGAAAGCACAGAAATAAACCAATGAATATAAAGTCAACTAATCTTTGACAAGGGTGCCAAGAATACAGTTAGGAAAAGATAATCTCCTCAATAAATGGTGTTGCAAAAATTGAATATCCACATGCAAGAGAATGAAACTGTGCCCTTATCTTATATCACACACAAAAATTAACTGAAAATGGATTAAAGTCTTAAGTGTTAGACCTGAACCTGTAAAACTCCTAGAAGACAATAGAGGGAAAAAGCTCCTTGACACTGGTCTTGGCAATTATTTTTTTTTTGGATATGACACCAAAAGCACAGGTAATAAAAGCAAAGATAAACAAGCAGGACTACATCAAACTAAAAAGCTTCTGCACAGCAAAGAAAACAATCAACAAAATGAAAGGACAACTTACAGAATGGAAGAAAATCATTGCAGATCCTATGTCTGATAAGTGTTTAATATCCAAAATATATAAGGAACTCATAAAACTCATTAATAAAAAACACAAATAACCCAACTAAAAAATAGGCAAAGAACCTAAATAGACATTTTGCCAAAGACATACAAATAGCCAACAAGCATACAAATAGATGCTCAGGATCACTTATAACTGAAATTCAAATCAAAACCACAATGAGATATCACCTCATACCTGTTAGGATGACTATTATCAAAAAGACAAGAGATAGGGCCGGCCTGGTGGCGCACTGCTACAGTGCGCCGCTTGTGAGCGCAGCAGCCCTCCTGCCGAGGGTTCGGATCCCACATACAGACCGGCCGCTCACTGGCTGAGCGAGGTGCAGGCGCAACACCGAGGGTTGCGATCCCGTTGCCGGTCCCGGTCCGGTACAGGCGCGACACTGAGGGTTGTGATCCGTTGCCGGTCACGAAAAAAGACAAAAAGGAAAAAAAAAAAAAAGACAAGAGATAAAAGTGTTGACAAAGATGGGGAGAAAAGGGACCACTTGTAAACTGCTGGTGGGAATGTAAATTGGTACAGCCATTATGGAAAACCGTATATATGTTAATTAAAAATAAAATTAAAAAATAGAACTACCATACGACTCAGGAATCCCACCTCTGTGTATATATCCAAAGGATATGAAATCAGTATCTCAAAAAGACATCTATACCTTCATCTTCATTGCAGCATTATTCATGATAGCCAAGATACAGAAACAACCTAAGTATACAGTGATGGACGAATAGATTTTAAAAATGGGGTGAAACTACAGCTAGATAGGAGGAATAAGTTCTAGTGTTTTATAGCACTGTAGGGTGGCTATAGTTAACAATAATTTATTGTACATTTTCAAATAGCTAGAAGAGAGGATTTTCAATGTTCTAGACACAAAGAATTGATAAATGTTTGAGGTGATGGATGTGCTGATTACGCAGATTTGGTCATTAACATTATATACATGTATGGAAAACCACACTCTACTCCATAAATATGTACGATTACTATGTGTCAACTTAAAATAATAATTTTTAATTGTGGTATATATATATATATATATATATATATATATATACAAAATGAAATATTCAGCTACAAAGAAGGAGTCTGGCCAGTTAGCTCAGTTGATTAGAGCACAGCCTTGTAACACCAAGGTCACAGGTTTAGATCCTCCTATCAGCCAGCCACAAAAGAAAACCCCAAAAAGCAAAAAACTACAACTGAAAAAAGCTGCTCTTCAGAAGATACCATTACTAGAATGAAAAGACAACTCACAGAATAAAAGAGAATATATTTGTAATATATATATGAGGATACTTCAAAAAGTTTGTATTATCTTTTAAT